CGCCATGATCAACGCTACGTTCGGTCCTCTGCGGAGCGAGCTAAGCGATACATGCCTTTGCATTCGAAAGTCTTCGACGACCTTTCCGCTACATGCCCTTACTCAGCCGTTTTTCCCAATCTGCAATCTCTGACATGGTTCTCATGTGCACCAGCAAGACAGGACCTCTGCGTGACCTTCATGCACAGGCGCGTGCGCCATCTCGGTCTGAAGCTGTACCGCTCCGATCCCCAATCCACAACCGCGTTCCTCAACGAGATCTGCACACGGTGTTCCGGCGTCATCAGTCTTGATCTGAGGTTTAACGAGCCCATGAGATACCTCGAGAACGACGTGCTCCCGCTCATCCAGGGCCTTCGCCAGTTGGAGCAGGTCTCTCTGCCTATATTCTCGCTCACGTCTCGCTTACTCACCGAGTTATCGAGGCTCAAGCACTTGACCACCATCTCGCTTGGTCATCCAGCGCAGGCACAACCTGGAGACCGCGGAGACGTGACCGACTTCTCGCCGACGATCTCCGAGGAGTCCTTTGTCGCGCTGCGCAGCCTGGGCTTCAGCGCGACACTCCTCGACGCCATGCGTCTTCTGAGCACCACATCCTTTCCTTCCCGATTAACACGTGTTCACCTCAAGAGCATAGAAATCGCGACGTCCGCAGTCTTGCGTGATTTTTTCTGCGCAGTGCAAGAAAGGTGTACGGCACTCGTGGATCTTTCGGTCGACTACATCATCGCCCCAGACTCCCCTCTCACCTTTCCCCCATCCCTTATCCACGACCGCCCAACCATTGCAACCTTCCGCCCCCTGTTCTCCTCGCGCTCAATTCGGGTCTTTGAATTCCGATGGGACTATGCACTGGACCTCACGGATGACGACATGGAAGAGTTTGCAGGCAGCTGGCGCACCTTAGAGAGCCTTCAGCTGAATCCGGAACCTGTCCCGGAACCCAGCCGCCCGAGTCTCTCTCTCCGTGCCCTCATTCCCTTCGCTAAGTATTGCACTAACCTGCGATTTCTTGCCCTCCACATCGACGCACGAGAGCCCCCGGACGTGTCGTCTCTCCCGCGCTCTCCGAGCATCCCACGTTTCAGCCGGCTTGAAGCCCTTGCCGTCGGCCTCTCAGCAATCACGAAAGCTGAGCCCGTTACCCTCTTTCTGAGCCAGCTTCTCCCTCTCGGCTGCACAATCACCTGTGGCCTCCGCTGGCCGGATGCGTTCGACATGGCGCTTGAGCATGCGCTAGTGCCGCTCGACGCGCGTACAGAGCTGTCCTCGTTCTGGATGCGCTGGACCGAGGTCGCCAAGCTGCTCCCGATAGCGATCAAGGCTCGTCTCGAGGAGAAAGCGCGTTTCGTCGCGCTGGAGAGACAGATGCAGGCGCTGCAGATGTCGCGCACGGAGGACCAGAGAAGACTGTCGTATCTCGAGCGCGAGGTCGAGGGTCTGCGCATCCGGACTGGAATGACCCCTTGAGGGCGACTGGCGTGTCGCACGGATTGCCGCAAAGGCGGTGGGTGCCTTAGCTGGTGACTGCCACTGGCCTCGAATTCACCATCTTGGGCTATGTTCCAGCTTCGGAAGGCCGATTGACATGCGAAGCCGCTCAAATTCCCGCCTACCGCGTCTCCCGCATTTCGTGAGCATCACCGAGGTACTTCTGCCCATTCCCGCGCCTCATCACCTGGACTTGTCCTCGGGGGTACTCGTGATACGTATGTACCATATGCAGAATACCTCCTGTGTACGAGGCGCATGGAGCGCGCATCTAAATCTACAGTTCACAAGCTAGGAGACGCTGTTAGTGCATGCAAGTGCTCCGAAGCGCGTATGCTTCGTGCCACCTGTTACCACACTCCAAGCCGTAGGTGGTAGTCCATCTATAGCTTTGCTCGCATCGCCATTCCCTCTTCTCGCCCACGGGGCAAGGACCTCGGACCGGGAGAAGCGTTCACAACGCGACCCAGGGCAAGCCAAAACCTTACCGGCCTCAATTTGAGACGGCCGATGGCCACCTGCACAGATCCTCTTCTCACGCCCACTGCGGGCGAAACCACGCCCAAGCCACCCAGTGCTATTTGCTGTAGAGATTTATCGGCTGGCCATGTCTGCCTCTGGATCTCTCCGAAGAAGTGCACCGTGTCCTGGGGTCCGACCCCTGTGCACGCGAACCGCAGACACGGTCATGAGCGTTACGGGGGTGGTTTCGGTCAGTCCCTTCTCCCGTCTGAGCATGGGAAGCATTAATCTCGGCCGAGGGGAGCCTGGATTGTCGACGTGCCAACTTCCGTAGGCAGACTCGCAAGCGGCTTCAATGGAGCTCATGCGACAGCCCTGCCAGGACGCGGGGCCCCATGTATGCTAAGGGAGGGTCATCGAGGACCCTGCGTGTCCTCCAGAGATGTGTATGATAACACCCGAATACCGACCGCCATAATATGAGTCCTCATATACGAATCATATTGCAATCCTGAATCTCGGCGAATTTCTTCTCGCGGGCAATTCTCATGCATCTGCGACAAGTGCTGTTCAACACTGAAACCGAAACTTGGGTGTTACGTCCTGGACCGCGCGGGGATACGTGCAGGAAGCGTCTGCCCGTAGAAGTAGGCCATCATACTGTCCGAGTGTGTAACGGTCAAATTAAGAAGCGGGTGTGTCGCGTTCTACAAAATGCCGATGATCAGGAGACGGGAAACCCACGCGCAGATGATGACCGCTAGCCGTGCTGCTTGACTTACGACGCGATTGGCCGCCCCGCCCACATAGAGCGCAGTGCCCTCTTCTTCGCTCCACGACAGGACGTGGGCGCACGTTTCCCTGCGCAGAGCATCGAGCTTCTCACGGTCTACGTCTGACGTTGTCACGAAGCCAGTGTCTGGACGATAAGAAGGGGGAGGGGAACGGTCAGATAGACTCTGGGGTGGGCGCGCTGTTGGGCGGGATAGAGACAGAGACGGAAGACCCACTGTCATGCGCGCGAGCTTGGTCGGCGTCCCAGGCGGAGATGACTGCCTTCCTCCGTGGTTCGGAGGGGATGACGCGGTGCTGGGCTGCAGAGAGGCCAGCGGCGCAGTACAAGGTGTGGTAGGCGTCTGCTGGCCTGGTCAACGTAAGAGAAGGCGATGAGTGCCTGTACCAGGAAACAGCATCAAGCGCGGGTCAGGGTGTGCGACGTACTTGGGAGGCTTATCTCGCAGGCCTCCTGCAGGATGCTGGCCAGCACACAGGATGTATTCCTGTAGGGCTCGCCGGTTGAACAGCGAGTCTGCCAAACGTCAGGCACAACGTCCGAGAAGGACAGCGGCAATAACCGGGGGTTTTTTAGCAGTCTCTTCCCACAGCAAGGAGCCAGGGACGATGACCCTCACCGTCAACATCATCCCAGGCCTTGTGTCCATCTTCTTCGCCGGCGTTCTCCTCTGTCGGCGGTTCGTGGTGCGTTGTGACACCGAGAAGCGTCTCAACGAGGACGACGCAGCCGCCTGTCCACCAGCTATAGCATCCGTCCACGAGCTTGTTCGTGCGACCTCTGAAGCCGCCGAGTTCGATGGGAAGACCTTGCATTTGGACGCACCACCTCAACAACCCACGGGTGTTGATTTGAGGTCGGCGTGGCAGGGAAGCAGACGGCATTTCGCCTGGGCGGGCGTAATAAAGGTCTATATAGGACTGCAGAATGACCCACGACGCTGTGGCACAGAAGGTGTAACCACCATGGGCTTCGCCGAGCGGAGGTCGAGGAGCAGTTGGATCGAAGGATGCAGCGGGGTCTTTCTGTGACTCGGGATCATCTGGGAAGTTGTCGCAGTATGAGACGGACAAGATGCACTCGCGCAAAGTCCCCAACTTGGCATACCAGCTTCGAACGCCCATCCGGGGAAGGATGCGTTTCCGAATCCCCCTTCATAGGTTTGACAAGTAGCTAAGAAGTCGGGAACACCAGAAAGAAGCTCGGGAGTTAAAATATTGAGGAGTGTCGCCACGGCAAGTAAGCAATATATGCCTCTGTATCCAATGGGTCAGCTCTCTTCGCTTCCGGGCAGACATCGAGCATGCCGCTGGCATTTCCCAAGGACAGGTTGTATGGTCACAGCATGCCATTTCCGGGGCCATTGCCAGTTTGCTCAGGCGACGATGGGTCGTGGAGAAGACGCCACTGAACCCATAAAGGTTCCCATGAATAGAAGATCCCCTACTTACCGGACATCTACTTCGCCATGGTGGCTGACCAAGAATGAACCGTCGGGCTGCTTGAGTGACATGAAAAAGTCATAAATCTTCTTCCTGAACGACATTTACATCGATTTAGCTTTGCGGGTGTTCACTCCTCACAGACAAGCGTATCACCTGTCGATGGCTTCCCATCCTCCACCTGAGCCGGGACGCCCTACGATGGCGAACGCACAGATGGACGCATACGTGGGCAGCAAATGTGCCGCTTGTCCAGGACCTCCAGCAAAGCCCCCATCGGGGTGTTGCAGGGCGAGAAGCGTATCTATTGTTCTTTGCGAAGAGCATATTTATGAGGTGACAGCCTTGTGCGTAGCATGAGCCACCCGAGCCTACCGCTTCTTTGTCAGATCGTCCAGACCTGCGCCAAGGATGCTGAAGCCATGGAGAGTCCAGTAGATCAACCATGGCTGACTCGCATCTTGTGAGGTATACCGCTCTGGAAACCCCTGGCGCAGATTGCGGACAAGGAACTCGAAGTGACATCTCTTGTGCAATTCGACTTGCGACTCTCCAGCAGGTGGGACATGAGACTTGATGAGATTTTCCGTCGTTGCCTGAAGAGCCGACGTCTCAGTGATGTATCCGTCTGCCGGTGTTGGAGAGTATACTGCATGCACAGCAGTGGACATCGTAGTTCAGAACAAGGGGCATTTCCGAGCCACATCGTGCGGCCCGTAATTGAGATCTCAGAGTTCTGGAACCCGACACAATAGGGAAACTCCACCCTTCGATGATATGGAACATATAATGACGTCCTATGTCGTCAGTCCCGTTTAGCTCAGTTGGTAGAGCGCGTTACTAGTACAAACATGTAGTAAAGGCCTGAAACGACGAGGTCAGTCGTTCGAGTCGCCTAGTGGGAATTGTTTTTCCTCCTTTACAAGGACTGCCGTGCCGCTGTGCCGTCACGACCGGGAACGCTGTGCATACCACACCACAGGCATCAGGGGATGTGACGCGTTCAAATTCTTGTCATAATCAAACGGAAGGGCTACTTACTGTTCGCCTATGGAACGAATATGCACAAACACATAAGTTTCATCGACTATGAGGGGACTTTGGCATGGCTATTGATCCTTTGACAGTCACGTGGTCCGTTGTGGTCGGTCGAGGTGAACCTTTCGCAGCAGAACATAGTCGTGGTATAGCGGGCAATGCCGGCCGTGCCAATGGGAGCACCGCCATACGTGATCATTAACCACATCCACAGCCCTCTCATCAGTCACCGTCAGCTTCTTCTACACTGTGTAGTACTTTCAGCCTGATAGCCCGGCTGTCTTCACCGGCTCGAGGGTTAGATCATTGACAGGATGCGTGGTTCACGGCCCGAACAGCCCGAAACCCACCTGAACTGGATTCCTGTAAACGGACCAGTTCAAGTACAGTAGACAGGAATCTCGCTTATCGAGTACTATTGGCGCTTTGAGAACTCCTTTGAATGTGTGATTCACTGATAATAACATGAGGTAAGCATAAGCTACCAGGTCACACGACGGCGTTCTCAACCCTGTAAGCGGCCGACGCTCTTGCTCAAGGCAAAGTCCCCAGGCAAATAGCCTTGAAATGACGGTAAAGCGCGAGTGAACAGCCATCTTGAATTATCCTGTCGCAGAATTTTGTCCCCTTTGGAGGTAGCACAATCCGCTTTGCCTGTCCTGTCATTTCACCGTGCCCGTCGTGGCATGGCGGGCACGCCGGAATTGTCAATCTTGTAACAGGCCAGCAACGCTCTTGCGCAAGGTCAAATATCCATGGAAATGGCCTTGAAAGGGCGTAAAAGGCCAGTGAAAAGCTTTTGGACTATCCTTCCACGATTTTTTGTCCTGGTCGGAAAGGACCTAGGCCAACTCACCAAGAGCTGATAGGCGGTGGCGGCCCCAACTTCGCCGTTTTCGGGAGTCTGAAAATGGTGGAAATTCAGGGATTTGGTCCTAACTTGCGGCCGGCTTCGCCGGATTCGGGGTCGGGCGGGATGTAACCTCGTGCTAGGGTAGCCAAATTCTCGCCAATGAGTGATGTTTTGATTGCAGCTGGCTACAGGCTATTGTGGACGATCGTACAGGGCTTGCAAAGCGACAGTTAATCATATGTATTAGGGCTCCGTGAACAATAGGGCCATTCATAACTAACAATATTACACACGTATCATTAACAAGTTGATATCTGTGCGAAACCCAAGGGGGTCTAAGAGGCCTGTTAGCAATTGTTAAGAATGCTGGGTAAGACTGGGGATTGTTTGTGCAGCGGATGCCTGTTCTTGAGACATGACTAGACTCTTGGGCAACGGTACGAGACCACCCGGGTAGCCTGAACGCATGTGCAGTGAGATATACTGTGTATCATAGACTAGTCCTGATTACCCATATACTATCCGCAACGCCTTGGAGGGCGACTACAGTATCACTCCGACTCCGAGTGCAGTTTCTCTCACTGCCCCCCCTCCCCCCCCCCCCCCCAACCCGATGATCCACTGGAGGGACAGGGACAAAAAGGTATTTCACCGCCGCGATGCTCACACGTGTATGGCTGACTTTGACGATGACAACGACAGCTTCTTTGCCGAGTGGCCGTCTGAGATAGCGTCAGACAGCCGTTATGGGGAGTACGGGGCCAGCTTGGCTGCGGACAATTTTGACCTCGACAGCCTCATCGACTTGGGCTCGGCGAGCCTCCGCGGTATGCTATGCTACACCTTAGAACAGGAGGAGGCTGCGGAGCCATTGAATCCTATACCTCGCAAGGCAAACTGGACGTAGTGATGGTGCTTGATATATTCACCTTTATAAACCGGTTGGAAATGGTTAAAATCTATTGTTCACCGGTTGTAAACTGTCGTGTTGATAACCATTGGATAATGGCTGTGATAAATGTATTGGTCATGGCTTGGGTTAGTAACTGTGTGTTAAGAACCCGTCAAATTATTCACGGAGCCCTAATATGTATGTATAGGTAAAGCTATGTAGGTCCTCGGCCGCTGGGCGGCGGGCAAAAAGCCTCAGCGAGTGCAGCCAGGGGGGGGAGAGCATCGAAGCAGCAACAGGGCTGACACGACAAAGCGAGGGCGACAGTCAAGCTCAGGGCGATGTTTGTGAGCTGTTTAGAACAAACTGATGTATTATGTCCAGGATTGCTTGGAAGTAAGCTCCGCGAAATCGTCAATCTAGTGAGGCTATGTGGATGATGATAAGTACAGTGATAATGTCTTCTAAATGTTTAGTACACGAGAGCTTCACAGCCCAAGCAGATCTTACCGGAAGTAAGTAGCCACAGACTAGTCGAAATACTTACTGTGCATCAATCGGAGGTGTTTTGCAGACACATTCGGTTAACCGGTGGCAGCCGACTTGGAAAGCCGGGCCGGGGCTCACTCCCAGCCAGCTCTAGCCATCCCGGGCCGTCCACCAGCCACGGCCTCCCGGTTTTTCGGGGATGAACCGCATGCAACAGCGGCCTGCAAGGTGCCTTTTCGGGATCTCTCCTCGGCCTTCGGAAGGGCCATTTTCGGGGAATGGCACGCAACTTTTCGGGCCCTACGGGCCCATTTTCGGGGATTCCGGCCTATCAGCTCTTGGTGAGTTGGCCTAGGTCCTGGTCGGAAGTAGAACAGTCCGCTTTGCTCGCCGCGTGGGATACGGTAGAAAGACCCCGCAGCCAGCCCTGAGTCTCGGCATCCTCATGTTTGGGCGGCTGTTACCGGCATAATCTCCTTGGCAGTGCGAGAGGGCCGTCCACCGCTTGCACAGGATAGTCCATCTTCCTGAGCGACCACTACTGCCCCGTCCTCGCCATGTCCAAGTTTCTGCACAAGCTCGACAGTCTTGTAGACAAGATTCCCGAGGGTTTTGATCATGCCCGGGCCATGGCCATAGGTCGGTGAAGCTCTGTTGACCATCACCTTCACCACTCATTTTGTCTATCAAATCAGGTTTACTCAATCCGGATCGTGCGTCCTAAGTGGTTCTGTACAGATTCTCGCGCATGACACCAACATGACACCATGCAGGTCGCCATGATGACCCGGAGGAGAAACGAGCGGACATGATCCGTTCAGAAATCATGGCTGGCCACCGTTTCCATTCGTTCGCGGCCCAGCGTTCGCAGAACTTTGTCAAATGGCATGTTGAGGCAACGACCTTCGATGCGTACAGCTCACTCAAGCATATTCATTACTAACGATAGGCACATTGACGGACTCGACTACATGTGGGCTGTCTCCGAACTGCTCGAGAGTGCTCGAGAGGCCATCTTCATCTTGGTGCGTAGGTCATCAGGCGACCATCTTGCGCAGCCCCTAATGCTGTGCGTCCCTGCAGGACTGGTGGCTCACCCCTGAGTTGTACCTTCGCCGTCCACCAGCGAAGTATCCTGAGTGGCGCCTTGACCGAGTGCTCAAGCGTAAAGCTGAGCAAGGTGTCAAAGTATATGTAGTGGTGTACAAGGAAGTCGTACAAACCATGTCCATGAGCTCTCACCACACGAAGGAGGCTCTCGAGGCGCTGCACCCGAATGTGGCATGCATGCGTCATCCCGATCACATCGGAAGCGAAGGTATATGTCCGCAGTACTTGAACGAAGCGCTCAGACTAACGACAACTTTAGACGACGTTGAGTTTTGGTCGCACCACGAGAAGGTAGTGGTCGTGGACAACCACTATGCTTGCATCGGAGGCCTTGACCTCTGCTTCGGACGTTGGGATACTCACACTCACCCGCTCGCGGATGTACACCCTACGGACCCATTCGCGACGCTGTTCCCTGGACAAGATTACAACAATGCTCGCATCATGGACTTCAAGGACGTCCCGAATTATGTGAGCAACGGTCTGAGTGCGATTGAAAGCGCCCGTATGCCGTGGCACGATGTGCACATGACAATTACCGGAACCGTCGTGCTCGATATTGTGCAACACTTTGTTGAGCGTTGGAACGAAATCAAGAAGCGCAAGGTGTGCTCATTGTATACCTTCAGTACGGATGACTAATCAGGACTGCACATCGTAGTACCGTCATGAAAGGTAAGCGGTGCCATACCGCCTGTAACGTTTCTGACTGGAGGCAGCCGCTATGACTGGCTCGCTTTGCCGCACGACATCGAAGCCGCTCCTAACGAGGCCGTAGCCCGTACGTCGACATGTTATCGTTATCAATCTTCACATCTCTCAGCGTCCGCTCACAGGCCACCCTCATCGTGAGCGTTGGTACGAGATCGGCCGATGCTTCAGGGAGCACTTCCACCCTCACTGGCACGGGAGCGAGACTGTTGAGTACGATGGTGACTATCCCATTGTGCGTGGCACGTGCCGCGTGCAGGCAGTCCGGAGCGTGTCGGACTGGAGTCACGGCGTGCTCACCGAGCGTAGCATCCAGAATGCGTGTACGTGCTAATCAGCCTGAGAACGCCTCGTTTGAGCTGACATGAGTGTCGCTGCTAGACATTGAGTTGATCCAGCAATCAGAGCACTTCATTTACATTGGTAAGTATTTACCTCTTAGCCTCCGAATATCACTGACTCCTGAGCGCTGCAGAAAACCAGTTCTTGTATGTTCTGTACAGATACCAGATCGGAATCCTGAGATGACGTTCATGGCTCCTTTCTCCAGCATCTCCAACACTGTCGAGGAGGGCCCCGTGAAGAATCTGATCGCGAAGGCACTCGTTGAGCGTATTGTTCGAGCTGGTCAGGAAGGCAAGAAGTTCAGAGTATGGCCTTCAGCATGCAGCGCCTTTCGCTATCTAAAGGGTTTGTTACAGGTCGTCGTTGTGATTCCCGAAGTCCCTGGCTTTGCCGGGCAGGGTGAGCTTGACTGCAATGAGCGTTAGAACGCCTCTGACAAAGGACACAGTCAAGGATGAGACCTCAGT